CGTTATCATCATCATTTTCATCTTCAACTTCATCATATTTCATCAAACTTTTAGCCCTGATCGTCGCCGTCCACGACAAGCTTGGGTCTCGCCGTACCGGCCCGACATGTATCTTGAAAGTTGTGCGCATGTGCATCCACCTCGACCTCAATTCAATCCGGGCTTGAGTTTCTCAGAGAGATCCAACTTCGCCACAAGAATGTGTCCAAGCTGAGTTTTCTCCCCCTTCATTTGGAGGGTGTGTGTGTGTGTGTGTGGTCGAGTTAGTGTGGATGGAGCCATCGACGAATGACCCTGTAGTTGCAGAAAGGCAACTAAGCGCCATGGGCGTCGGATCGTAGCGTAGGCTCTGCATCTAATTTCGTCGTAGCCAGTTTTTTCAGACAGTGCTCGAGTGCATCTGATTGCTTATTGAACAGTCGCATGTCAGACCAGCGTCGAGCAGTTACCTGGTTGATCAGTCAAGGTTCTTTGTTGAGCAGTTTTGTGTCCGATCAAACAAGATTCTGTGCTGTGCTCTCATTTGTTGTATTTGTTTTATGGCTTCATTTGTTTGTAGTTGCCCCATATATATATACACATATACATATACATACACATATTACATATTACATATTACATATTACATATTACATATTACATATTACATATTACATGTTACACATTACATATTACATATTACATATTACATATTACATATTACATATTACAATTACATATGCATATGCATATGCATATGCATATGCATATGCATATGCATATACATATACATATACATATTTATATGTATACTATGTATATGTATATGTATATGTATATGTATATGTATATGTATATGTATATGTATATGTTTTATGTTATATGTTATATGTTATATGTTTTATGTTTTATGTTTTATGTTATATGTTTTATGTTATATGTTAGATGTTAGATGTTAGATGTTAGATATTAGATGTTATATGTATGTGTATGTGTATGTGTATGTGTATGTGTATGTGTATATGTAAAT